GGGGGGGGGGGGGGGGGGGGGGGGGGGGTCGGGGTGTTTGGTTAAAATATGTTTAAACAATTTATCATTTTCATATAAATAACCAAGAGGTCTAGGGTGTTGATATTTGGCCATTTGCATGCTGGGAGAAAGGGCTACCACATTTGTTCAAATGAATAACCTTCACCCATATTCAAGGTCACAGGGGTCAATTGTCTTGAAAACATTTAAAAAACCTCTTCTGTATAACCAAAAGGTCCAGGGTGATGATATTTGACTACAAGGATATTGGCATGAAGGGCTATTAAGTTTGTTCAAATGAATGACCTTTGCTCATATTCAAGGTCAAAGGTGTCAATTGTCTTAAAAACCTTTAAACGACTTCTTTTATATAACCAAATGGTCCAGGTGATGATATTTTGCCAGAACGATGTTGGCATGAAGGGCTATGAAATTTGTTCAAATGAACGACCTTTTCCCATATTCAAGGTCACAGGGTCAAACATTTTGAAATCTTTAAACGACTTCTTCTGAATAGCTATTTAAAGCATACAGGGTGATTGCTTGTTGATGAAAATGACCTTGACACACTTTTATGGTCACATCTGGTCCATAGTGCATACATATTTAAAAGTCATCTTCTCAATAAACAAAGGGTATAAGGAAGTGATATTTGGTAAGTTGCATTCTGGGAGGAAGGGCTATGATGTTTGTTCAACTTAATGTCCATGTTTGACTTTCAAGGTCACTGGGGTCAAATGTGTTATAGTCGTTTAACAGGTTCTTCTGAATGACTTGAAGTCAAGACACTGATATTTTGCCTGTAGCTTAATTTTAGTCCACTTTTAAGGTTTCAATTGTGAGATTAATACCAGGTGATCGATACAGGACCATTGTGCCTCTTGTTAAAGCTTAAAAAATGAAAAATCTAATGTATTGAAAAAGGGCGGGAATCAGAAGCGTAATAATTAGCGCCATATTAAAATGACTTCACGCTTGACAACAGGGCTGCGTGCAATTTTGAATTGGATACTCAACGCAATTCCGACGATTTCTGCTATTTTCTGGTATGATTGCTTATACAAATGTTATTAATTGTATATTGATGTAAATACTTAAGCGTGTGTACCAAACGTTCACACTAACAACCACTTATTCTACCGTCGCTTCGTTTGAATCTGAACAAAAAATCGTTGCCTTTGAATGCAGCGAATAGAATATACCGTTATGATTGGTCAATACCAAAAATATCACTTTTGATATTTGTCAGTGTGAAAGATATCAGTTTTATCAAGTTAGTAGAATCCAATATTTCACTGGCAAAAATGTAATAAATATAGGATCTTACATGAGTTTCCATTTCATATGAGATTTATTTAACAAGTCTTAAGATTTTTTTTAATTTGGCGAGCCTCTAGTGAGCTAAAATTAAAAAAAAATGTGACGAGTTTCATCAATTTCATATGAAATGAAAACGAGTGTAACATCTTTTTTATCACATAATCAAGATTTGTGGCATGTACTCGTGTTAATTAAACGACAATTTTCATGCAACCTTGAAATGTAAAAAGCCGACATTTTGACTCCAGTGCGTAAGTCTGTGACGTCATGTACTTGTACTAGGCGTGAGGTCACAATTGAAACACTTGAAACTTACAACCAATCACAGGGCTGATGTGTCCTTATTACATTGGTTAATACGCAAAAAATATGATATGGGTATATTCACTGGATAACACAGTACATTATAACAAGATAATACACATTACCAATCCGTGCATAACCCGGATGTAAAACGTGTCGGACATGTCGTATATTCAAACCAATAGTCCAGGTCTGGAACGTGCCATTGTTGGTTTCGCGTAAAATACTGCGGGATTGATTTATGCATATGTGGACAATATCGAGGCAATGTTCTGAACGATTTTGTCATGTTTCTCTTGAACACCATAATAATATCTAACAAATTCAAATATGTTAAAGTACATCAATTAATCAAACAATGTCAATGGATACCAAAACAAAACTGTAATAGGATAATTTTATTTCCTAATATACATAAAATACATAGAATATTCACCAAATACACAAATATGCGAAATCGGTTGGTCCTTTTTTATAAGAAAATCTCGCCGTTCTAATGGCCTAGTAAAATACAAACAGCCATTGATATAAAATGTTCTGTAACCTTGATATTCGATTATTTGAGAAAAGTTCGACTTTACGAATTGACACAATAACGTTGTTCATCAATGTCTGAGCAGCACATTTTATACATATAATATAACAGCGTGGCAACAGGCCATAACCGTTAGCTACGTGTAATACACTGATGTACTTCAGTTTGTTAAGTCCGAGTGTGTACATTGTCACACAGAAACTAATAGTTCATGTTTAAGCAATAAAAGAACAATGTTAAATATATAGTGAACATAAAATATCACTGTACATGTTGTGAATACCCTTCACCAAGATACAAAACAGAATTATATAACAGGTCATGGATGATTGAGAACGAGATAGAAGAGGTTACAAAACGTGTACTGTACACAAAGATATTCTAAGAGGAAAACAAATGATGTCCAAGAAGATAGCGAATATGGTACAATGGATCAAGAGTAAGATGCATGTGACGATTGCGAATGATGTTCAGAATAATTAAATCATGTGTTACAAATACTGAAATGTGGAAACGGCTCTAAATAAGAGAAAGAGAGATTCATTTTATTATTAAAGTACACCTAGCTCATATCGTAAAATTTCGGATCAACATAAACTGATACATACGTAACATAGATACACAAAGTTTTAAAGGAAGACGTACATTTCACTCCTGCGTGGCCCCGACTGAACTTGCTACACACTATCCTCGACATGCTGGTCATGTGATACTGTTTGGTTTGTTGTCATACAATAGCCCGTTGTTATAAATGCATGACACTGTCCCTTACGTTTGCGTCATCGATTCACTGACCAACTTAAATTTCGATGGCTGGTGGAAGTGGTAATCGTTTGGATAGTAGCATAACACAGTAAGGTAACGTCAGGAAATTCAAAATGGAATGATTTTCAAAATGGAACACTGCATGTGTTTGACACAGCATTGTTTTTGTAATACGACCGCATGGTGTCTATTCTAAATCAAAATTTGAAAAGTTTTAAACAGTTGGAGGAATAAGGATCTGCTTATCTCTTACATATTGATCATTATGTGATTTAAAAAAAAAATGGGGAAAAATGAAATGAAAATAATTCCCGGGAAATGGGGCGTTAAATCGTACCATATATGTATCCCTGACAGGGAAAGAATATTGTACAAATTAATATTTCAATGAATAAATGACTAAAGTTTTTTACAAGTAATACAAATATTTGAGAGTTTTGTCAGGAATTTACACAAACTAGAAAATAGCAGTGGTTAGATTTGGCAACACTGTCTGCTAAAACATCCACTTGAACCCGAATGAACTAAATAGGTTTTACTAATCGCCGCACGCACTGTCGATATCGAACAAATGCACGAAAAGGTGAAAGGCATCTATTGATTCATAATAGCATTATTTATATTTTGGTTAACTTTATTTCAGGATTCTTAATCAGGTTTCATATGAAATTATACTGATAGGTATTGCAGAGAATTCTGATGTCATTTGAAATACGTCAAGGTTATAAAACCGACATTCGTAGTAACACACATAATAAATAAAACGTATATCTGGGATTATTTTTTAATAATTATAATAAAAGAGTATTTATGAGATTAATACATCACCATATTATGCCAGGAATAGCATACATAATTGCCGAATAGCTTAGTTTAAACATTGAGTTTGTACTGCGTTTTAGATGAAATAGGCTTCCGAAAGTGGCGAATGAACATGATTGAGATTTTGGCAACCAGCATCACCACAGCCACGACAAGGAGTGACACTAAAACGATGGAGTTCCTGTGACGACGTTCAATGTCGTAGTTCTTAGCAACCGCACCACTGAGACCGATGGTAAGGGTAATGTAGGGGCTGAAGGTGTACCGAACGTATCTGTCCAGTATGGTGTTGTCCAGCAGAAACCACGTGATTATGATGCAAGACAAAATACCTAAGGCAGTTGTGCAAGCATCTTCATTTGTAAGGTTACCTTCGTACGTCATCACCATGGCGGCGTTTAGTAATGTTGCTATGGTTACCCAGGCACAAAAGAATGCCATGCCATTTTGTACCAAGAAGCGGATGAGCCAAATGTCCTTGACAGCTTCATCTTCATTGAGCCTCCCAAGATTGTGATACAGACTCCTAAAGGAGAAGAAGAGTGCCAAAGCGAGAGTAATCGGAAGCAATGCTATTGTAACTAGAGCCCAAATAAGCTCTTTCCGGTCCCAGGCAAAGAGCCACGATACCAGGAAAATGTTGTTGCAAATAAACAAGATGTACATTATTGGGGGGAGAATCGGGAGCTGGTATATGTAGGTCCCAGACTTAGTTCTGCGACAGATGGTGGTGAGGGCGTAGATGAGCCAGAGGGCCTGCCATGTGTAAATAAAGCCCCAGATACTGAACGTCCAGCCCGCCGGGGTCACCTCAAGGTAGAAAGAGTCTGACACATCTCCGACGGAGCTGTTGAATATCCCTGTAAATAGGAAACATGAACAAGATATTTCGAAAATGCAGCTTCGTGATAAAAACATATGCTTATGAAGCTATATAGGTAATTTTCGTTGATTCAATATTTTAGGGATTATCAAATTCCGAGCAGTTTCTTGATCGTGATATTTTTTTTTAATAATTTTCATTAGTCACACTCACAAGATTTTGCCTTTTCTGAACTCAATAGAGTATATATGAGAAGCAGAGGAATATCTCCGGTATTGCCACTGGTATAACATATGTTACTGCTTGTCCCGTTATCGTTAATGTTCCTTAATAAAATTACTTAGACAAAATAACCAGCCGATTCCTCAGGAGAAGCAACGATGTTTCTTCATTGCTAAACTTACCAAGCTCTCGTCCAGCAGATCCGGATAATGCGTTGAAGACAATCGTAAGTGCGTACACAAAAACTGCCACGACAATCACTGCTATACGAGGACAACTGTGTTCCGCCATCTTTTGAAATCTACAATGAACACAGTAAAGGGAGATAACTATCAATCTGGTCATGCGTAATGTTATGCATCTGAAATAATTTCGAAATAATATTCCGGAAAATGAGATAAATATAGTATTGCACTCGTTTCATTTACTATGCTGAATTCGTACGCTTATCAAGCTGTTTGAGATATGAATGGTCTGTAGCTATGGATTGTATATTATATTAAACAAACTATAGAATAACTATAAATGCCATATAGTCAACCTCGTCTCTAAACAGAAGTACTGAAATCGTAACTTTGGTGAACAGAGATTAGGTTTATGGGATATTCTTATTTAATCAGACTTCCTACTGAAATATATATATTGCGCATTTCTATATTAGTAACCGTATGGGTCATAGTATTGGTGGAAATACATCATTCAAATAGTGGTCATTTTACAGAGCGTTAAAAGTGCAACGTTGCGTAATTGATTAAAAATAGCCCTAGGAAGTACAGGTCAGGAACTTATGACACAGTCAGTGTTACGACTAAAAGTAGCAATAATGACACAGTCAGTGTTACGACTAAAAGTAGCAATTATGACCCAGTCAGTGTTACGACTAAAAGTAGCCCATTCAATCTAAAAGGAATGCTGGATTACATAGATATGGTCTTAAGTCGCAACTCACCAGCTATGCACGCACTAATATCATTGATTACGATGGGTTTATGGACGTTATGATAGATAATGGCTGGAGGCATCCTAGTAGTATGGATGATGTGGGTATGAGGTATACATATAACCTAGAAAGGAGATAATGGAAGAAGCTAGAATGGCTAGGGACGGTTAGAGACTGCACTAGGATACAGCTACAGACGACAGAGACCGACCTTAACACTGGAGGTTACCAGAATAAACTTCCAACCAATCTTCAATTCTTGTCACTCGTGTTGTGTTACAAAATGTTAGATTTCTTATTCTCAAAATGAAATACTTATCTCTATATATTTATGTTCATTCGCTCACCCTTCACATAAAAGATGTTAGGACTCTGCTGGTGGACAACTTGAGAGCCAGTTATCTCATTGTACTTATGGCACGGTTCTTGATAAAACACTCATTATTAATTTGAAATTAATCAGTACTCTAGTTTTTGAAATTCACATAGTGAAGGGATTGCCTCCCCCCTCCCCTTTCAATTATTTTCGGTATCTATAATCTCGGATGAGTGATATAAGGACGAAACAGCTGTATGCTGCTGTGCAATTCATTTTGGCTCACTGTATGTATTACTAAAGGTTATAGAGGTAATTATATGTGTGTGTGTGTTATTATCACCATCCAGAGGAGCATTTCCAGAGTAAGGTGAAACTATATTTTTGTTCGTTTGTTTTGCAATGTTCACGCAAGTAATAATTTTACGACTACGGAAGTAAATTGAAGCAAACTTGTTTGTACATTTGTCTCACACTATTTCATATTGGGGAAACTAAAAAAAAGTGAGATGGCCAGTTTTGATTAGTTTTAATTTGGACACGACACATCACGAATGTATATAACCTGTGTACTATTGTATTTGTTACAAAAGTTTTGTTTTATCTTGCCCGCTTCACCTATACAACCGACGATGTACCTTCCCCTTTCATCCTACAAAGGGAAACTAGGAGCTCTCAAATCGCAGTTAGACCCAATCACCAATGTTGTCCGTAGTTTTGGCGGCCAGTCAGTGACCACGGTGTGCCCGGTGGTTTGAAGCTGTGTTAAATGTCAAATGACAGGATGACAACAGGTTTGAACTGTTGGTCACCTTCTGATGGCTATACGATCTCCTAAGTGGGGTATTTTTAAAAGCGTCAACACCGAGGAAAGAATGACCACCACTTGTTAAATAATCTTATTATTAGGCGTGGAGCAATGTCTCCACAAAGGTGTACAAATGGAGGCCACGACCTTAGTGCACTTCACCGATTCGAGTACGATTTATATTGTGCATAACTAAACCTTGAATTTATGTAAAGGATAATGTCCGAAAGCTGTTTATTCTTTGAAATAATGGACTTGACGAGTATATACGCATTTATATACACCCCAGTATCAACATAGGCGTGCTGTTACTTCCCTGAATTTATTTTTATATCGTGTAAGAGTAAACAAAGCCACATTTATTACGATATCGGATAGGTACACAGTTTGTGAGATAAGTACATTAATTTTATGTAGTGATACCATTTAATTAGGTTAAAACATGGCAATGATTTGATCGGATTCCATAGTGATAAAATGCAAGATGGAGTTCCATACAGATGTTCATTGTGTGGCCTTTCCACATCAAACCAATAACTTTTGATTTATGAAATACATTTTCAAAAAGCGTATTGAAATTAATTAGAGTGTATATACCAGTGTCCGTAGCTCATTATCTCATTATCTCAAAATTTTAGGATTGAGCAAGCTCATGAACGAGTGTAAATCGATGGGGGAAACGAATGGCTTCATATATATGGGTTTTAATTTAAGTAAATCTAAAATGGATAGCACACGTTTTGTGATTGGAGACCCCTTGCGGGGCCTAGCTATTTAAATGGGTCAGTTGTGTGCGCGGCCTGCTGCATGCTCTATTCAAAATCTAATCGTGTCGAGCATTGTTAGCATGTTTGCCTGCTGCACGCTTCACTCAGCAAAAACATGGCTATATGCAATATCTAAAACCAGCAATCAAGAATCCAATCGTTTTAGGAATTGTCAGTTTCTTGATCCAATTATTTGCTATTTTCGTTAGCAGTTTCGGTTTTGCTAAAACAGCGCTAGGTCTAGAGCGGTAAAAAAATGCATCATTTTTTAAGCACAGTCATGACTTGAAAGAATACTCAACAAGTACAAGTCCAAACGATCTGCAAAGATCATGATGGTGACCACCCGTAAAACCTGCCCATATTCTTCATTCCTTGTAAGTCTGGGTATAGTGGTTTGTGAAATGACTGATACGAAAGCGTAAACTAATCTCAAATCAAGCTACATTGTATATGTGTATTACATCACTTGGCCAAACGTTTGGTCTTTATTTATTATTGAGAAGAAAAAATATCGAAACCAATATGTGCAGAGATAATCACAGCCATTGTATCGTCGGTTGGCTTGCTCTGATTGTGAACATTGATGGTTATTTTTTATATAAAATGTCTCCATTTTAATATACATAAAATGGAGAAAATAATGAACAATTAACCTTCGACAAGTCATTTTTTTTTCAGTGACTAGACTAAACATTTTGAAAAAAGCACTCAGATGTTTTCTTGACAAAATTCATTTTTAAAAACAATTATCATAAAAAGACCATTGTTTGCACAACGTCGAACGTACAGTCCTATTGTTTCTGATTTTATAAGTCATGTTGTAATTATGTATAGTACATTTATCATCTTTTGTTCGTTGACAATTGTGACGTGACGATCATAAATCAACATTGAACCTTGTGAAATACGAAAAAGAGTAACAAATGAAATAGCCAATAACATTAATTTACATATACTGCCGATCTCCCTGTACAATAAACATCCCCATATTCTACATGGACATATCTACACGTTATATCAAATCGTCGAGTTCAGATTAAACGTATTTATTGTAGAAATATTTACCGTATACACAGCAATTGGACGGCTAAATTTCTGATAGTCTTCTCCAAAATAATGTACTGTGAAGTAAGCTGACGGTCCGCGCGGATGGTGAACAGTGATTTTGGTGCTCTCATATGTATAAGCCCGGGTTCGGCGGCGATAATACAGTACACATGTACTTGTACTTGGAAGACTTATGTGTACAAGTTGTGCCCCTAAATGCTTAAACCGCTGAATAGCTATCACCGAAATATATCTATCTGCGCAGCCAAATAAACGCTAGGTGGTTTTTGTTACAGCTATATATATATATGTATATTATATGCTGTAGTATTATAGGTCGTCTATATTGAAATAGCATGATTATACAACGGATCTATTTGACGTGGCAAAAATGAACATAACACATACAGGTGATCATGACTACATCCTTAAGATTTGGTAGTGTACAGCTCTTTTGTCTTTCTAGGACTCATCTGTGATGCAAAGGGCCAAAAATAAATCGAAATCTAAAAGTCAAGATATGTTACAAAGCTTTATCAAAATAACTGCCCCCCCCCCCTTTTTTTCATTTTCTGAAAAATATTCAAACGGTTGTTTTATATTTTGTGAACATGCAACAGCAATTTGGAGGGAAAGAAGGTTACTTAATATAATCAGTAACATAGGGTAAGTAAACCTATAGCAATGCTTTGTGGACTGTAGGGGACTGAGTGGACACCTACCTGTGGGATCCTGGTATGTGTCCTGTCCTGTGTCACAAGTTCACTTATGTTAAAAATCTAGTCAAGCGTTAGCGTATGTTTACCTCCACTAGCTCGTGGGATGCCGCGTGACTGTATGTTGTTCCCCATGTGTCGGGGCAAATTTCGCACTGTGATATTGACTCCGGTACCGCTACACCGTTTTACACGCCTTCATGACGGGATATAATATATAATTGTTAATTCCCCATTGACGAAGGTGGAGTCAAATAATATAACCGGTACACCCTTAGACATAGTTAGGCTTTCTCTTACATCTGTCAGTACGTGATCGTTGCCTTCCACAAATGTATTTTAAAACTTCCTTACCTTAAAACCATCTCCACCTATCTACCTCAGTTTTGGAGAACGGAAGTTGAATATTATGCATACTAATCTGAGCCGCAAGTGTAGTTCCCTTAAATATGACCTTTATAGAGTGAATCTTTAGAGCTTATTTTATGGCAGTTCAGATCTTTCGATGGACCTTACTCATATTATCAAATCCAGCAATATATTTTGTTTTTGTTTCAAGCCTGTCAAAATTGAAGCAGAGATTTACAGTTTATCTTCAGTATAGCTCAAATCGATATGCTACCATCATTTGGTAGAACTTGTTCTTAGACAATTTAACTGTCAAAATAACTTCGCGATATGGCCGATATGGTCGCTCGGGTGGCGTAAGGAATAGCACACTCCTCTTTCGCCATGCCAATCGGGCTTCGATTCCCTGATCGAGTCACCTGCACGACCTCGTGAGTTTTCGCCGACTACTTAGGCTTTCTCCTAATTTAACAGTTAGATCTTATGTGCGCTTTCATTTGTATCAAAAAGAGCTGTTTTATAATTGCAGTAAAATCGATGAAGTTCGTTTTATATAGTTGGCGATATATCGATGTAAATGAATAAAGAAATACATTTAAAAATAACATTGAAAAATGAGAACATCAAAAAACGTTAACGTAACTGAAATGACCAATCAAACAAGGGGGGTTATATATATTGGAATATTGTATGTTATTATCTAAATTTCTAGTCCATCCTGAAACATCATGCCAAATTTAAAATTTTGCTTCATAGACCGATATTTGACAGGTAAACATGAGGAATAAAATTAAACATGTTCTTTTTACGTCTAGATACATATTGGCGGCCGACGTAAAAAATAAAAGCATTGTTAAAAATGGCATCAAGAGTCGTACAGTGTTAGGCCTAGTGGTTTGGAAGAAATATTGTTGATTTCAATAGAAATATTGTTGATTTCAATAGAAATATTGTTGATTTCAATAGAAATATTGTTGATTTTAATAGAAATACATCAATAGTTTCTTTTCTGACGGTAATATATAAATGGTTTCGTAATAATCGTAGAAATAACCTTGAACAATGTTGATTATTTCGTTCATACTCTCGATTTATTTTGGGGGGGGAAACAGCAATCCGAATTCCGATCAAAATTGATGTGAACGCTCTGCATTGATGTCAAGCGTGACTTCATTGGAACCTAGCGTCAAATATCACGCTACGAATTCCCGCACTTTTCTGATGTAGCAATGTTTGCATCACGTTAATGTTATAATGTTAATGCGAAAAAGCAATAAACTGAAAGAAATAATGGTTTTCGTGTTGAATACCATATACAATGTATATATTTCACTTGTGTCAAACAGCTGTGCGATAACAGCCAAATAACCGGCGTCTTTTTTTGTCATGACGAAGTGTGTCCCCGTAGCTGCCTCGAGAGGTAATAACGTCTTTGACAAGTATCCTCACGAAGATGCTAACATTTTATAAATTATTCAAACAGGGGCTTTGATTGACACTCTAACCGAAGATAGTTAATACATGCATTGCAGAAGGCAACTTGAGGTAGAATATTCAAAGTTTGTGCGAAATTTGATAAAAGCGAATAGATATCCATTGAATTTATGAAAGTCTAAATTATAAAAAAGAAAGAATATATGTAAATATACATGCATCAATGATTTAATCGCAAACATCGAAAATAAATTAGATTTTGAAATAAATGTTTCAATTTGCCATTTGCGATTTATCTTACCACGAAAAGAACGCTGGTTGTCTCCCTTCGGTCGATGAGTACTTCAGATCTCAATATATATACCTTAATCACAAGCTTTAGGCACACGTGTATCTAGTTATACTTACCTGATTACCCTATGGTACGGGGCTACGACAAAAACTAATCTAAAACGTAATTAACTTTACGATATTGGCATTCAGATTACCGTTTAAACGGTATTGTTATTAACTGGCTAGTTGTCCCAAACCCAATGTCTATCGTAAGAGTCGAAATCAAGCCTTTCTGTAACGTTATTCAGACATTTGTAATCAATGTCGAGATGAATACTTTTATCTAACTACGGCGACTGGCTTGAGCAGACAGAAGAATTTTGGATATTGACTTCATCACAGCCTGTTTCGCGGTACGATGTTTTTGTCTCGTATCGTTGATGAGTAACGCCCGTTCTTAGTTTTGAGAGATACATGTATATGATGGCCGAATGACCTACAATTCCACCTTATTTGTTCCAGCATATTTCAAACCGTTCTTTTTCCTCATATACTGTTCACTTTTTTTTTTTGTAATGAATATTTTTTTTTTATTTTGGTTCACACAAAGCCAGTACAACATATTACATGATCATTTATATCATTTCAATAGTAATTGTTAAACAATACAGTTTCTTTCTTCCATTACTTTCTTTCTTTTTCTTGTTTCAGGTAATTGCTAATTAGTTAAATAACTGTTCTAATGGGCGCCAATTTTTAGTTACTTCGTGAACTTGTCTTGATCTGTATAATTTGTAAGTGTGTTTTAAAAATATTAAGACACCTTCTATTGACGGTATACTAGACTTACATTTACAGATGTATAAGTAACGTCTTATTATCAAAAAGCAGAAATTTAGCAATGTGTTATTGTTTTCGCCGGAGTAACCTAAGATGGCATCCTTTGTACTTATTTCAATTTCTATATTACATTTTACATAAAGTAAGTCTGAAAAAGTTCTCCAAATAGTGCACACATGAATACGTTGCCATAAAAGATGATACATATCTTCATCTTCATAGTTACAGAACGTACATTTTTTATCATCTTTTATACCAAATTTAAACAGAAGCGTATTTGTGCATAGTATATGGTGATAGATTATATACTGAAAATTTTGTAAAATGACATCATGAGTGCAACTCCTTGGTATCGAGTAAATAAATTTCCAGTTAATATCTAAATTTGTAATGTCTTGGGACCATTTTCCCATTGCTTTTTGGTTTGTAGTTAAAAATGTAGAAACTAATTTTGAATAAAATATATTGGTGGGTTTCGTCAAAGTTCTTATAAGCGTTATATTTTCTTTATCTCTAGTATTATTACTGCCCCGATTACGAATTGACCTTTTCCACGACCCTGGGATGACTGTAATAACACCATAAAAACGGATTCTGTTCATGTCCGGAAAATTATAGTTTTCTTGAAATTTTCGAAAGGTCATAATGTTGCCATCGTTTTCATCTAAATCTGCTACCTTATTTATACCCCGTTCTTGCCATGTTTGGACATATACTGTCTTATTATCTAGTTTTATATTGTGATTAAACCAAATTGGCCGCGACAAGTAGTATTCTGCATTTTCATGTTCTAAATTTAACGTACTCCAAGCTAAAAAAACATCTCTCCAGAAGCCGTTGAAGTTTTCAACACTTTTTGTCATATCTTTTTTAACATAAATATACTGTTCACTTGGTCACGAACACATGTAATGTATGTCGCAGCACGATCAACAAGTACACTGTCATGACGTACATGGAAATATAAGGTACAGAGTCCAATTTACATTTGATATTAGAGCTACACATGTCCCTGACATTTAAATGTTGACAATCTATTTAGTAATCTCATTTTTGTGTTATAATTTGTCATTATCATTACATGGCAGTACCATTCTGTATGTCGGAGTCGTGTTCGGTTCTGCTGCTCCCTCTAACAGGGACCCACTGTCTGGGTTTGAATGCTACATCCTGATAGTGCATTTGACGTGCATCTGTTTAATTTCACTGATGAGTATATTAATTATTGCAGACCATGGGAACAAGTTCTGGCGGGAAAACACCGGCATTTCCTCCCGGAAAATGTCATCAAATCGTAGGTCATTAGTGCCGACCTAAACAATAAAACGCGACAAATAAGACAAATCACCATTGTTGTCCTATTGGCTGCGATATTAGCTCCAGTCTCACGCAGGACTATATGGCTAACACTGAGGTCAGTACCGACCCATGGGATCTCCTTCCTGCCTTCCAAAATGTGAGTTTTGCCCTATGCTTTCCCTCCGTGAAATCCGTGAAGTATTGTCTTTTCTTTGCATCAGCGATACAGTGGGTTGTTGGTTTCTGGTTCCCCTCCTTAACAATAATCCTCTTCAGGAACTCTCCTTCTAGTTGTTATAAGAATTTTATATTTTATCGGTACACAAAACTTTTACTATTTTTTTTTTAAACATGTCCACCCTAAAATTGCACTATAAAGTATGCTGAAAAAACCCCGAAACAACCAGAGTATCCCGAAGTGTCAACAAAGTGATCATTCAATCTTAAAATCGATAGAACTATTGGGAAATGTGAGCAAGGGACAGATTTACACGGAGATCCATGAAAACGTACCAGGGGAAAAAGACCGGGAGTTCCGGAAAGTGCTTCATCGATGATATTCATTATGTAGCTTCATCGATGATATTCATTATGTAGCTTCATCGAAGATATCCATTATGTAGCTTCCTCGAGGATATCCATTATGTAGCTTCCTCGAGGATATCCATTATGTAGCTTC